ATGCCCGAACACATCCAGGTAGGTGGTGGGTAGGAAAGGGTGGAGAACAGGTCCTGTGGAGCACCAGAGAAAAGCCAACCGGGGACTCATTGATCATGGCAGACTCCTACAGCTAAAAAGACTCTACAGGACATCTCCTAAAATCTCATCATTTCCAGAGAGGACTCAGGGACCCAGAGAAGACGGGACCTTCTCAAGTTCCCCCAGTGAATGAGCAACGACTCCAAGCCCATATGTGCCATCATATCACATCAGTCCTCCACCCCAGCAGATACACAAGGGTTAATTGGCCCTAACAAGGCTGCCAACTGATGGCTATCAGCTGGCAGGAGAGCTAGCCCGGAAAGACCTGAGACCACAGACAGGCAAAAGGCAAAGTTTTCTGACAGTTCCTTCCTATCTCTACCTGGCCTCAGACCCTCATCCCCCAAACACCTCTCACAACCAGCCCACTCGTGGCAGTGGCAAAACAAGCACCTGATAAACCAATCAACCACCTGGTCCAGGGCTCGATGAATAGCCATCAATGCATGGGGCAGCCAAGGGCCGCCTGCTGCACAAATCCAGGCGTGCGGCCTGCAGAGCTTCCAGCAGGGCCCTGCCACAGGGATTGGGGGGCAGTGCAGCAACAAAGGTTACCCCACAAGGGTCTGAGGAGCCCAGGGCATGGAGGAGTGGCGCTGAAGATCAGAAGGAAGTGTTTCTGGAGCACCAGAGCTGGAATTCCATGTACCTACAGGGCGGTCCCAGGCAGAGCCAGGGCCACAGGATGAGGTCTCTAGGGTGTGCTCTGCACGTCCCTCCTACTGGCTCCACCCCCTGCCGTCATCCTGCTCCAGAGAGACATGTTTGCTGCGGTGACACTTGGGAATGAGGTGCATATTAGGAAAAGGTAGAGTCAGGAGGCCTGGGAGATGAGAACACAGTGACAGCCCCCACCGAGCCCTCGCTTGCGCCTGGCTCTGAACAAGCAGCTTTTCAGACACTCAATGCACCACAGCTGCGTATGGAAGCAGCTTTCAAGGCCTGCAGCTAGACGAGTGGTGAGCTGGGGTTTCACCAGCTCTGTAGCATCTACTTTGTCACTGTGCTGTCCCCACAGTCTCCAGCTCTGGCAGGGAGGGCTGACTGAGGGGGCTCTTAATTCCTTCAAAAATATAACTATAAACTGGGCGTGATGAACACTCACATGTAAATGTGGCGGCCACTCTTCTGTTTAGAGAGTGAGCAGCGGAGGCACCCCTGCCTTCTCTCTCCATGTGCCAGGCCACATTCACAAGACGAGGGGATCCACAGGTTCTTCACTTATGACCCCTTTGGAAGCAGAAGACCCCTGCTTCAAGCTGCCCCTTCCATGGAAGGGACCAGAGGAGGGGCAGAGCTGTCTGAAGTTTGACTAGAAGCAACCTCCTTTTATAGGTGTTTACAGGTGGGGACAATGAGACCCAACAAGGGAAAGCAGGTCACCTGGAGGGAGCAGCTTGGGGCGATGTGTTGAGGAGGAGTCTTAATGGGGCAGGTGCAGGAAAGGCCGCCTGATGGGAAGTTGACCGCCATGGTCTGTAGGGGAGAATGATGGCACCTCCACTCCAGCTCAACCCGGCCTTGGCCTCTGCCCCCTCACAGGGGCTTGGGGCAAATCAGCACACAGCTTGACAGGCAGTGGGTGGGATGGATACCCCCCTCCCCCGCACACTCACTGGGTGTTGCTCTACAGGGAGCCATTTGCACGACTGTGTGAGGTCTGTGTGTGGTAGCCACATACAAGGCCCTTGAGACCCTCAATTTTTCTTTAGTCCATACAAGGAAGTCAGTTCTCAAACTAGGGAAGAAGGCATGCTGAAAGGTCCACATGTAAGGATAAAGACCCCATGTTCCAAAATTGTGGACAAGGGTCATGCTGCCCCCATCACACCCAGAGCCACGTCTCTCTGTTTTCATAAACAGTGTGTGTTGCTTGGGAGGCAGAGAGAGGATAGGAGAAGAATATTCAGTCAAGTAGGTTGCAGGTTTTCCACATCCTACCTGGGCTTGTAAACCTCCATGAATGGGTCAGAAGGCCCATCTTTACATCTATGTGCATGTTCTTCACAGGTGTCACAGAGACAACCAGCCTCCCCAGAACTGCTTCTTATTCTGGATTCGTAATCCCAGTAATGAGTGCCCAGCTCCCCAAATCAGGAGTTTCCCTGGATCCTTATTGCACCCCAATCTAGAGACCATTAAGCACCTAGAGTCCCACTCTGCACATCTCTCACCCCCTCCTCTTGAGCCCCACTACTGGCCTCTTTGCTCAAATTAATTTCTCAAATGGTCTCTCTCCTCCAGCTCCACTCCTGTCTCCAGGCTGTGTTTCACAGGCCTTTCCAAAACCTGCCACAGGCTTCCTGCAGCCTTCAGAATCAGGCCCAACCTCCATCAAGCTTGCCTCAATTTGGCCCTTATTCCTTAGCCCGTGCTTCACACTTCAGCCAGGCCAAACCACACTGTGCTCCCTCACGTACTGGCCATGCCACGCCTGCACGCCGTGCTTGAGAGCCTCCTTCTGCTTGGGTGCCCTTTGCAGCACCACTGCCTCAATCCAAAAGACTATCCAGGCCCTGGCCCTCCAAACCGGCCAGCCAAGCCCGCCAGGAGAGTCTGGAGAATGCTGGCTGAGGCCAGGCACTCCAGCACTCTCCAAGGAAACAGGAGGTTATGTAGTCTGGGAACAATCTGATATGGAAACTAAGTAGGGTGCGCTTCACGCCAAGCCTGCGTCCCCTGACTGGACTCTGTTCAGACTCCCAGGCTCAGCTTCCCTGAGACCTCGAGGACAGTTACCCATTGCATCTGCCTCCTGCCCCAGACTGCCTCTTGGAGGGAGAGATACTGTCACCTTCCTCTGTGTGTCCCAACATCCAGCTGGATCAGGCCTTCGGTATGGTTTATGGGGTGAAAACCCAGGAGGTACCTTCTTGTGTTCTGTCTAGGTCCATGTAGTCCTGGGCCCCCCTCTCCCAAGAAAAGCCAGAGCAATTTCTATGGTGTTTGTGTGCATAGGAATGGGGGAGGGCTGGGGTGTCAATGCCCCTATAGGATCTGATTCTTGCCCTAATTTCAGAAACATTGCCTTTGCATACAGCTAAGTGTCTAGAGGCCTCGCTAGTACATGAAGGGGCAGAAGGAGAGGGCTGTCACTTGGTGAGGCCTCACGGGTCCAACCTCATGGGCTGGGGCCACCATGGGGGTCACAACAGAGGTCTGACAGGTGGCCTGAGCTCACTCAACAGTGAGCGAGGAGTGTGGACAGGTCCAGACCTGCTTTCAGGATCACAGATCTCCACAGAACAATCAGTATGGCCGAGGTCTGTAGGAGACAGGTCCCAATACTGACCCTGTGGCTGCTACCCTAGGGAAATGGTCACTGCACACCCTTAGCAGTAAAAGTCTTCGATCCTCTCATCCCCAATATACATAAATCTATTTACAAAGCCTTACAGTCAATCCATATATTAAATATTAGTGCCTGTTACGGGCTGAACTGTGTCTCCCAAAATCCATATGTTGAAGTTCTAATCCCTAGTACCTTAGACAGCAGTTCTCAACCTGTGGGTCGCGACCCCTTTGGGGGTCGAAAGACCCTTTCACAGGGGTCGCCTAAGACCATCGGAAAACAAAAAGATACTTACATTATGATTCATAACAGTAGCAAAATTACAGCTATAGAGTAGCAATGAAAATAATTTTATGGTTGGGGGTCACCACAACATGAGGAACTGTATTACGGGGTCGCGGCATTAGGAAGGTTTAGAACCGCTGCTTAGAATGTGATGTATTTGGGAATAAGGTTTATAAAAGACTCTAAAGAGGTGCTTAAATTAAAATGAGGCCGTTAGGGTGGGCCCTAATCTAATCTGACTGGTGACTTTATAAGAAGAGGAAGTTTGGACACAGATATCTACAAAGACCAAATGAAGGCATGTAGGGAAAGATGGCCATCTATGAGCCAGAAGAGAGGCCACAAAAGAAACCAACCTTCTCAACACCTTAATCTTGATACATTTCTGTTGTTTAAGTCACTCAGTCTGTGGTCCTTTATGGCAACCATAACAAACGAATACAGTAAGGCTTAATCTCTCTTTTTTTAAAACATAAAATTGATATAAATAAGCCTTTCTAATATTTTCTTCTCACCCCACTTCGGATGCTACTGTTATGGGCAGGTGTGAGGAACCTATGCCTGGCTGGATCTTAGAGGACAAGTATCAAGCCAGAGGAAATGAGGTGTCTGGTGGCCACTGGACATCTCCCCTTGTGGGCCTGAGGATATCTGGAGAAATTAAAGAAGCCTGGAGCCCCAGAACCCAGAGAGGTAGGTTTGCCACAGACCAAGCCTTGGACTAAAAGCCCCTCTTACCAGCGTTTCCCCACCTCCCATGAGCACAAGATTCCCCAGGGTACCTCAGTCCCACTTGGGAGTCGTGAGGTGGGCCCAGAACTTGTTTTTGTTAAGCGGGCCTGGTGATTCTCAGCACCAGCAGCGTTTGAGAAATCATTGTCCAGACCATTCCACACCAGGAGATAGGTTTGTAGCTGTAGGGTGACCGTGAGTGTGAGTGTGTGTGTGTATTTGGACCCGTCTGAGCATCCCTACCGGACAGAGGGAAGGAGAGACGCCGGTGACCCAGAGCTGCCGCCTCTTCCCTGCCCCTCTCAGCCCCATCCCGGCACTCGCATCTCCAGCCCTGCCCCCTCCCTCTGTCCCGACCTCTGCTGAAGGCAACTACAGTACGTAGTCTGCAGTTTCTGCCATCGTATTTGCCGATCAGTGTTGCGCCCAATGTTCTTTGAATCAGCAGGGAAGAAATGCCCTCCGCTTCCCTCCCGAGTAATTTTGCTGAGTCCTAGACGCCCTTGTTTTTCTCCTGGGTGTGGCGCGCCTGTGACTTTTCTGCCAGGCTCTGGGCCCTTAAATGAAACCCAGGTTCCCTCTCCCAGCGCGAGCGGATAAAACTGACCGGCGGCGAGGGGCACAGCCTCCGTCCCCAGGGGCTGTGCGCCGGTTGCGGTCGGGGACCCGGCGTGCGGGTCGCTGGACGCCCGCCGTCCCTCGGGTCTACGCGTCCCAGCTCCCCGGCGGATCGCAGGTTCCTCCCGCACCTCCAAGGGTATCCGCCCCCCCCCCCTCTGACCCCTGCCAGGCTCGTCTCGGCTCACCCAGGCCGGCAGGTGCTGGCCCAGCAGCTCGCGACTGATGAACTGGCGCTCGTTGTCTAGGAATTCGAAGGCGGCCGCCAGGCGCCCAAGCTTCCCACGACGGTTCCTGCGCCACCACATCCACAGCAAGGCGCCGAGCAGCAGCCAGGTTATGCTGAGCCCCAGGTAGCCGGCTAGGTAGACGGGCGCCAGGTAGAACAGCACGCGCGCTACGAAGGTGTAGAGCTCGGGCAGCAGCTGGCTAGACTGGCGCGGGTCGGCGCCCGGCGCACGCTGCTCTCTTTGGGCGCCGGTGGTACCAGGTGCGCCGGCGCCGGAAGCGCAGGGCTCCTGAGCTTGCATGTCGTCGCCGCCGTCTTGCCCTTTCCCAAAGCTTCACTTGGTCTCAAGTCCACGCGCCCAGACGCCCGGGCACATCTGTCCTCCAAGCTCGAGGACCTGACCGCCGCGCCGCACCTGCCCCACGGGACTCGCGGGCGCCGTCTGGGCACTCCAAGTTCGGGGTTCCCTGCAGCGCACTCGAGCGCCAGGGCTGGAAATGCACAGCCGGCTGCGCTTCTCTGGCTCCCAGCCGACGGCTCCAGTTGTCTCCGCCCTCGGGGGCCAGCCCAGGCAGAAGGGGGCGGGGTCAGGCCACCCGGCGGGCGCTTGCCGGGGTTTAAAATGCAACGAGTTGGCGAGGGAGCCCTCGGACCTCAACGTCCCGCGCAGGCGTCAACGACTGGTGCAGTTGCAACACTGGGGTAGAACCCAGGGTGGACCAGGTGCTGCCCCAGGCGGTTTATGATTCACCGAGGCATGTGAACAAATGACTTGTGGTGGATAAACATCACCTAAAACCTGTTTCCGACACCCAGTCCACAATATTCAGTCTCGTGTAGACTCTAGCTGGGTGGGCATTAGAGGGCTTTGGGACTTTCTCGGGACCAGGCCAGTCCTGCTCATCTCTGGGGCGAGGAGCACAGCAAGTGATGGATGAATTACAACAGAAATGATAAGCAAGCCCTGGGGAGCTTAGAGGGGTCAGTTGTGAACCCCAGGGTTTCTAATCTAACCATTTCTGAATGATCAGAGCAGGTGGAGGTCTGAATCTCCAAGTTCAGACAGTAAATCTCCAGGAGAGCAAAGAATAAATTTCTGTTGTTTTTAAGCCACCCAGTTTGTGGGACTTTGTTTTGGCAGCCCTCAGAAACTAACACAGCCACCCACTAAGTACCAGGCACTGTTGTAGGCACAGGAAATTCAGGGTGAACAGAGTAGACAGGATCTTTGCTCTCACAGAGCTGACATTCTACTGGGGGAAGACAAACAATCTAAGAAAAAGAAAATAGCAGGTAAGGAAAAGTGACATAAGAACAATATAGTAAGTGGTGGGAGAAAGTGATTGGTGTGGGGGTGGAAGGCTGTACTAGCTAGGGTGATTTGCAAAGGGCCCTCTGAGGTCACATTTCAGCTGCGACCTAAGTAAAAAAGAAGACTAAAAACGTATGTACAATTTCACTTAAAAAAAATTAGTTTCAGGTTTCAATTTCATCTTTTATAAAGCTTAATATCTCATAAAAGCATCGCTCCTTTGACACAGAAAGATAACCTCTGCAAGGTAGATGTCATTAGTTTTACTTTTGCAGTTCCACATGGGGCTCGAGTAATTTTCTTTGCATCTGTCGTCTCTGTCCGAAGTACTGGGAATTCCTCAAGGGCAGTAGCTCTATCTGATACATCTTATGTCTTCAGTGCCCAGCACCGAGTTGGACATACGGGAAGAGCTGAGAGCACTGAGTAAGAGCAGGGTCTCTGTAATTCATTAGCCTGAGTTTAAATCTAGACCAAAGCACTTGCTGGCTCCAGGAAAGGTCCTCACCTTCTCTACAGTTCAGGTTCCTCATTTATAAAATGGAGATCATAGTAATACTTAAATCATAGGGTGATTATAAGGATTAAGTAAGACACAGCGTGTACTCATATAAAGCTGTATAGCCAGATGGGGAAAGAGTCAAGAAGGACTTAATTTTGTCTGTATTGTTTGACTTTTTAGAGCAAGAATGTATTTGTGGATTATCTGTATAATTAAAAAAATTATTGTGATAAAATACACATAATTTACTATCTTAGCCATTTTAAGTGCAGAGTTCAGTGGCATTAAGTACATTCATATTTTTGTGCAAGCATCACACCATCCATCTCCACAACTCTTTTCATCTTGCAAAACTGAAACTCTGTGCCCATTAAACAATAATTCCCCATCCTCCTCCCCACTGCCCCTGCCCACCACCAGTCTACTGTCTGTCTCTATGAGTTTGACTATACTAGGAACCTCATATAATTAGAACCATACAATACTTGCTTTTTGTGAGTGGTTTATTTCACTTAGCATAATGTCCTCAAGGTTTATCCTCATTGTATCATGTGTCAGGATTCCCTTCTTTTTTTTAAAGCTGAGTAATATCCCATTTTATGTATGTACCACTTTTTGCTTATCCATTAATCTGTCGATAGACACGGGTTGTTTCTACCTTTTGGCTGTTGTGAATAATGATGTTATGAACATTGGTGTACAAATATCTTTTTGAGACTCTGCTTTTAATTTGGGGGGTTATATACCCAGAAGTGGAATTTCTGGATCATATGGTAATCCTGTTTAATTTTTTGAGGAACCTCCATACTGTTTTCCACAACAGAGGTTCCATTTTACATTCCCACCAATAGTGTACAAAGATTCCAATTTCTCTACCAATACTTGTCATTTTATATATATATATATATATATTAACCATCCTAATGGTGTGAGGTGGTATCTTATTGTGGTTTTGACTTGCATTTCTCTGATGATTAGTAATGTTGAGCAGCTTCTCATATGCTTGTTGGCCATTTGTATATCATCATTTAAAAAACACAAAAAATATTTCTGGGGATGTAATGTGCAACATGGTGACCATAGTTAAAAAAATACTGTATTGTATATTGAAATCTGCTAAGAGAGTAGATCTTAAAAGTTCTCACTACACACACATAAAATTGTAACTATGTGAGGTGATGGGATGCGATAATTAACCTTATTTTGGTAGTCATTTCACAATATATGCATATATCAATCGTTACATTGCATTCCTTAAGCTTATGTGATGTTACATGTCAATTATACCTCAATAAAGCCAGAAAAAATTTAAAAACACAAAAACACTGCTTGCTGTATGACCTTGTGCAAATCCCATTTCCACTCCGGACTTTAGCAACCCCTTGGGGCAAATGAAGGGTTTAAACAGAGTATCCGTGAGGCCTTGTCCTGCTAAGGGGCTGCAATTCTCTCGATGTGTCTTGGTAATTTACTGGGTTATCAAGCTTAGTCCTAGCATTAGAGGCTTAATGTGTGTGAAGGAACACACACATAAATGAATGCATGAATGTGTTTGAGCCAAGAAGAGATGGTCCTTAATCATATCATCTGATAAAAAGCTACAGAGGGAGATGCAAACTCATAGGCTGCTTAGCCTATAATCTCTTCCGGCCAGGCCTGAAACCTATACAACTGTCAATGAAATGGGACATTTATAGAGCATTATTTGGATTCCTGAGTGTGGAGACTGCACCTAAGAAGCCACTTATTTTACACTCTTGTTGCCTTACAGTCAATCCCACGACCACCCCCTCTGCATTAGCCTCATACCCTGTAGTCGAGAGAGTGTCTCGGAAAACTGAGGGCGGATGGAATGATATCTGTAAAGCTCTCTCGGGGGGCGTCTCGGAAAACTGAGACCTGATGGAATGATATCGGTTGTCTCCCCTGGGAGGACATGTAACAGAATGTCCTGGGACTGTGCAGTGATGTACGAAGGCATAGCATTTGTTGGAGTACAAAGGGGTCCGGTAATGGGAACAAGCCTAAGGCACCCACGTATACACGGTTAATGATTCACCGTTCTGCAGTTTGCTTCTTTGATGATTCTCAATAAAAGCCAAGCATTGACCTGATTCAGGGCTCAGTCTTTCTTAGGCTGAGTCCCTTGGTCTTGCTCTCAAATCTGACTTCTGTCTCTTGATCTTATTCAATCTGCGTCGCTCCTCTCGTGTCCCATTTGCCCTTGCCACGCAGGACGTGACACACTCTTATTAAAAAATGTGGTAGAGGTGTATGTGTGATACTGGTGAGGAGCAGCAGGAAGGTTTCAGGGGTGGGAGGGCAGGGCATGCCCCTATAATGTTCTTCATGATTTCACCCCTGCCTGCTACTCCAAGGTCACTTCCTGATGGAGCCAGCCTGTGCCTGTGCTGCCAATGCCAAGACACATCCCACACACTCTCATGACCTAAGCGAGAAGAAGGTGACCCTGTGGGTCTTGGCTGTTCTGGGTCAAAGTAGAGTTCCTTGGGCACACCTATCTGGGCACAGAAGTGTGGCTGTTGCTGCCATCTCAGAGGGTCAGGCTCTAACTGCTTCTCTCCTTCTCCAACCTGTGTAAGGGAGGAGGCCAAGGGGATGACCACCTTCATAAGGCCTCGGCAGGGCCTCCCTCAGAGGCCCACCGCAGGCAGGGTCTGTGATCTCAGATCCCTCCACCTGCCCACAGGTGTGGTTCCAGAACTCCACAGATAGGGCACGAGGGCCAAGGTGCGGGGACTCCGGCCTTACCCCCTGCTTCAGTACTCTTCCTGCCCTGACCCCTCTTCTCCATCTCATTGCTCCAACTTCCACTCCTGTAATTCTTGACACCCACAAACTACTTTATTTACCCAACGTAAATGAGGCCAAAGGTGTCTTTTTTTATTGAATAAAAATATCCTAACAAAAAAATTTCCCTTTTAAACGTTTTTAAGGTCCACTTTCCGTTGCCATTAGGACATTCCACGTGTTGTGCAACCCTTCACCTCCCCCCTCCCCAGGAACTTTTCCTTACCCCAAAATTCAACCTCTTTGCCCTGAAACACCAAATCCCCATTCTTCCCAAGCCCCGCCCCTAGCCAACGGCCTTTTATTTTTTGTTCTTGCATTTGGCCTCCTCAAGGTCTTTTTTATAAATGGAATATTTGTTCATTTGTGTGTGGTCTATTTCACTTAATACACTATCTTTAATGTTCATCCATGTTGTAGCATGTGCCAGAATTTCCTTTCTTTTTAAGGCCGAATAATATTCCATTATCTGTATTTACCACATTTGTTTATCCATTCATCCATTGAGGACTCTTGGGTTGTTTCCACCTTTTAGTTATCAAGAATAATGCTGCTGCTATGAACACAGGTGTACAAATATCTGTTTAAGTCCCTGTTTTCAATTCTTTGGGGTATATACCCAGAAGTGGAATTGCTGAATCATATAAGTAATGCTATGTTCAATTTTCTGAGAAAA